CAAGGGGTGACCTGCTGGGTGAACAAGTTCAGTAGGCACAAAGCCTCCTATGTCTGTCACATTCTGTGTTAGTGTGGCCTGAGTGAAGCCTCTTTCTTCCTTTAACCCGATTTAGCTTCTGTCTTGGGCACTGGCGCACTGACCCCAGCAGGACTCTGAGGGTGGAGTGGTGGGCTCAGGAACAGGACTGCCTACCTGCCTATGGTACCATCACGATAGCAGAGAAGGCCCTAGAAGTGTGGTGCATTCTCGTCACCTTACAGAAAAGGAAACTGAGGCCAGGAGAGGAATAGAATGGCCACTTTCAAACAGTTACTGGTGCGAGTGATGAAATCAGGATCCTAGAATTCTTGTTGAATTTTTTTCTTGATTTTTTTTTTTTTACTAGTGCTGAGGAGGAAACGCAGGGATGGCACATGCTTGACAGACATGCCACCACTGAGCTACTTCCCAGCCCTTTTTAATTTTACTTTATGAGTCATAATGGCTTGCTCAGAGTGGCCTTGAATTTGCCATCCTCTTGTGTCAACCTCCCAAGTAACTGAAATAACAGGCATTTGCCACCATACCGAGCTTCTTGGGGTTTTTTCTTTCTTTATGCAAGAAACAGACATTCACCAATGTTCCTCTCCAAACTCAGCTGATCAAGTTCCATCATTTTCTGCCAGGGGGATGCTGGAGGATACTGGCCCTTCATCTACTCCATGGGGTAATCATGGGGGCAATCATGTCTACACCTTGGAGTTGAAAGCACCACAGAGAATGAGACCAAAGCCAGCGTCCTGTGCCTGTGTGATTTAATGGCCAAATGAACAGGAAACGGACTGACAACTTAGTCTCCATTTACCCCTACTTGCTGGGTATGGGCTGCAGGGGAAGCGGCCAGGAAGCCAGCAGTAAGCAGTGGGGTAGGAGTGGTCAGGCCAGAGCAGATGGAAGAGAGCTCCCCAGCCCCATCCACCTGGGCCTCAGAATACTCCCAAATGTAGCGCACCAAAGGCACCTGAGCTGACACTGTGGTGCTTGGTACCATTGATGTTCTGCTTGGCTCCTGTTCCTGTGCTTTGGGTCATAGGCTTCTCCAGCTTCCTGGATCTGAGGGGCTCTGAGAGCTGCAGGGGGCTGGGTTAGGGTGTTACTATGACTTACATGGTGGCCTCCTCTGGTTCCTAGAGAGCAGCAGCACTGCTGGCCAGAAAGGCTGGCCCCTGGCCTCTCACCTGCATATGGTGGGCCTCTGCGGAGCCCACACCAAGGGCAAGTGTTGAGAGAGAGATAGAGGAGGAGTGCAGAGAGTGGAGATAAATAACCATGAAGAGAGAAACCAGGAGCTCCTCATGCTTTCCGTGCCCACACAGCCTGACACTAACAAGCAGGAGATGACAGGGGTCCAAGACCCCCCTCTCCGGTGGCCTTGCTCCATACTCCCACACCTGTGGCCCTCAGTGACCCAGTGGCACTGTGGTGCTGGCTCATTAGGAGCCTGTGGACAGACCAAGCGCTGCGTGTTCTGTCAGACCAGCAGCAACCTCTTCTTGATCACCATGCCTGTCAGCTCTGCCCCAGGCTGTGAGGCAGGCAGGAGGAAACGTGTCATGTGGTCAAAAGTTGTCCTGATGTGAGTTTCCTAATTTGTTTCCAGACGTGGGCACAGGAGAGTATCTGACAGGCATGAGCAGCCAGCGCACAGACACAAACCTCACTCCCTGTCCTGTGTGACTCTGGGGCAGCCTTCTCCCTGCCAGCTGGAGTTTATGTGTGCACCAGACGGAGGTGTGCTGGTTGGTGACAGGAGTCCCAGTGATCATTTCTGGGGCCACACAGCCAGTCAAACTGGAGCACCCTCACTGCTGGGCACCCACAGAAAGTAATGCCTTCCTTCCAAACTAGTATTGCTTTCTTCAATCTTCTGATGCTGCTTCCAAATTAGTTTGGCTGTGGATTACTCCGGCTTAACTCTCACATCAGCTTGCAGGTTCTCTGAGGAAGGGCCACATCTGAGTTATTAACCCCAAGACTGGAATTGAGAGCGTGGCACACAGCACTGGAAGCAGTGAGGTGCCGGTGAGGTTGTTGGTGGGGACAGTGCTGATGGCAGAATGTGGCCACCGGTGACTTTGGGTGGTGCCGATGGCAGCGGTGAGGATGCTGCTGAGAGCGATGGTTGCACCGTGTTGCTGGTGAGGGTAGGGATGATGCTGGTGGTATTGGGACACCGTGGGTGATAGAGGAAGTCATTTCCGCTTGTCTCAGCACATGGCAGCAGTCCCCGCCTAGGTGCCTGACTCAACTTTCTCATGCACTGTTGAGGTCCTCAGAAGCCAGAAACATTCTTGCTTCTAGGTTGTTAATTTCCGGGCTCGGGCAGCTTCAGTATTAAAATCTATCCAGCACTATCTGAGGAAACTTTAAGATGGTTGTGTTGGAACGTAAAACGTCTGTGAAATAGAGGCCATGAAGATAAGTCACATAATTTTAACCTTGCAACTGAAAGCGGAAGAGAAAGCACAAGGGGCGGCTCCTCCTGGGTGTTCTCCGGATGCCCTGACTGGTCTGGCAGATGTGAAGAGCTGTGACAACAGAGAAGCAACACAATGGCAGTGGCAGTGCCGTTGTCATCACTCACAGAAGGTAGAGGGACCACAGGCTCTCAGATGGTCGTGTCAGAGCTTGGTTGCACTCTGGCACTTGGAGCCAGCTACCCTCTCACTCGAGGTTTGAAGTGCAAGCCACTTGGGAGGGGAACTCATGCGCCTCACCAGGAGGGACGGTCACCTTGAGGCTGCGGTCACTCCTTGAGGGTACACAGAGTTTGCACCACTGCGGAGGACTTGGTGGAAGTGTGAGAGCAGTGTTTTCTGTTATTCTACTGTCGTTTGTGCCTACTGGTGTTTCTTTTCTCCTCTTCACCTTAATTTGATTGAGAGCATAAACAAACCAACAGCAGATTGCTCATCTTGGCCCGTTGCACAGTGGCTGTGATCTTGTAATGCTTGTGCTAAGCCTGGCATGGCCTCAGCCTGGAGCTGTCCATCTCGACTTTAATTAGAGCCCTGCGAGTGGAAGTTTCAACCTGGGCCGCATCCTCGCAGAGAGAGGGGAGATACCATGGCACATTAATGAGGCGTTAGGATGAGGATCCCTAGCCTCCAGCATGGTGACCTGACCAGGTGTTCAAAAACAGCTGTGCTGAGGAGAGTGCAGCGGGGCCCTGGCTGACACTCACACCCAATTTGCGGGAAATTGCTGCAGGGCTGTTTGCTGAGGATGCAGGCTGGTCTGTGCTCTCAAGTCTGTGTCTGTGTCTCTCAGCTTAGTTTCTCTTTTCCTCAGAAAAATCAGTTGACTTCAGCAAGTTCTCAGACAAAATTAAACAATTTGGATGGTAGCTGAAGTTACATCATTTTAAAAGTGATCACAAAAAAACCTCTCCTTTGAGAAAAGCAGCAGGTCTCAGAGAGTGAAGTGATTCCCCCAAGTTCACATGTGAGGGCTGAAACCAGGTCCTGCCAACCAGGTTGCCAACCTCCTGCCTCCCGCACAAGAGTCTCTCCCAGAAAACAGCCTGAGCACTACCCTAATGCCCACTGTGGCCACAGCCTCATTTGGATGAAGGGATGTGCCCATTGACCCAGGCACGACAGGCAGATGCACAGCCTAAGGACTACTCTGGTACACTTCCAGGTCAGCCTTCACCTTGTGAAGGTCTGTAAGTTGGAAATCACCACATCTGTGAAGTCTTGGTGGAGCCTTAGAGCAGAACACTGACACCTACGATTTTCACCACTATGCTGATATGAGGGTGACCGCCAGGCCTTGATTAGTCCAATGGCAGACACAAAGTGTAGCAGGGACTTGTGCTTTTGGGAACACCCACCACATGAGTGAGGAGAAAATGTAGACAGGACACAGTGAGAGACCATGTTGGCAGGGCAACATCTGGTAAGCAGTACCACAGATGTCTGTTAAACAAGACAACCTGGCGACCTCCCTTGTAGAATACTGCTACCCAACACCTGGGAAACAGTGCTACTTCAGAGGACAAATTACAGAGCTGGACTGATTTGACCAGTGGTTCTGGGGCACTGTGCTGGGTGTCATCATGCAGGCAGAGGACTGGAGCATGCATTTCTCCAAAGAAGACACAAACAACCAGTGAGCACAGGACAGGGTGCCTCTCCAAGCACACCCACAGTGGAGCCCTTCCTCGTCACCAGGCTGCAAGGAGTAGAGGAGTTTCGCGTGTTCATGTCCCCTGTACCTTGCTGGTGGGGCTGTAAATGGTGCAGCTGTGCCGGATGACAGTGGGCAGCTTTGCAGAATTTTAATGTGGTTATCAACTGACTCAGCTACTTTACATCTAGGTAGATACCCAAGAGAACTAAAGATAGGTACACACCAAAACTGGCTCACAGATGTTCATAACAGCATTATTCAGAATAGTCCCAGACTAGAGATGATTCAAGTGTCCACCAACTGATAAATAAATAGAATATGACATCTACACACAAAGGCGTAGCGTTCAGCCTTAGACAGAAAGGGCATCCCGACACATGCTGCTATGTGTGTGCACCCTGAGAATGTGCTATGGGAGAGGCCAGACACAGAAGACCACTGGAACGTGAAATATCCACAGCACAGGCACAGCCAGAGAGATAAGAAGCAAACTAGAGTTGCCAGCACTGGGGCAGGAAGTGGGAACTGGTGAGCAGGGTTTATTGGGGGGCAGCGAGAATGGGGTGGAGGTGTTCAGTGTGAGTTGCACACAACTCTGTGAGTACAAGAAACCCAGTGACTGGCATGTGACTTCTGCCAATAAGCTGTTAGTAGAGCCAGTGCAGAGGGACTTGGCCAGTCCAGTGGAGGCTGTGGGCTCATGGCTCGGTGATATCTGGTACTATTCTGGGCCTTGAACACCAAAGCCCAGGCCCATCTTGTGTGGGTGCTGGTCGTGGTGACTGGTGATCCAGCTTGTACTGTTGTGTTCTTGTGTCCTGCAGGGTGAAGAACCCTTCCCCGAGAACATCCTGACCTACGTGACTCGCACGTCTTCACTGAGCTACCCTCCTGTGAGCCAGGTGCAGTCCCCCGAAGCCTTGCCACTGCGCACCCTCGGCCGGCTCCAGCCAGACGAGCTCAGCCCGCAGGCAGACAGCAGTGCGGACAGACTACGCCCAATGGCAGCCCGTGTTGCCTACACTGCTCCAAGGCCTCCCGTGCTGGCCGGAGAGAGTGACCTGGGGTCACGGTACATTCTGCGTAACCCCTCAAGAGCGCCAAGGCCTTCTTCTGTGCTGGTAGCCCCCCAGAAATGGCTTTCACCTCCAGGACACCCTCAGGATCCCCTGAGCACAGGCGATGGTGAGTCGGCCTGCCACCCTGGGTCCTATGCATCTGGTGGCCTGACATCCCTGGTGCTGGTTTTGTTGTTTTCCTACCTGCTGGGTGCTTGTCCTGCATGGAAGGAGGGGGTGGCAGGGAGGCCACGGTGTGAAGGAGGGACCCTTGGTCCTCCGGCCATTCCCTACAGATAATGGGCAGGTGGTGGTCCTGGCTCCCCTAGATGCGGAGGCCGGTAGAGAGGGGAGAAACACCCCATCTGCGTGGATCCTCACCACTACTAAGCCTTCCCTCAATGTCCTGAATGCACACATTTAAAGAATTTTAGCAATGATTTTATGTTAATAGTTCAAATTATCATTTCAACATATAATCAATGGTTAAGATTATTATACATCATACATTATTTTTCAGGGTTAGAAAGGCAGGAAGTGTTTTACACATGTATCAATCACGCCTTGATTCAAATTGGTCATATTGCGAGCACTTCCAGAGCTATCTGTGGCTAACAGCTCCTTTATCAGATGGTGCAAGGTATTACCTCAAAACATGGAGCTGACACTGAAAAAGACTTCAGTTTTTTATTACCAGTGCTTATTGATTTTACGGCATATTGGAGTTCAATAAGCATAATATACTTGATCACATCCACTCCCCTACTGCCCTCCCCCGTGTTCCCTTCCTCTTTCTAGTCCCCTCCACTTCTACTTTCATCATCTGTTTTGGATTCCTCACATCAGGAAGAACACAAGACGCCTTTCTGAGTCTCGCTTTTTTCAATCAATGTGGTGATCTCCAGATCCATCCATTTTCAAGTTAGAGAATTAAGTTCTTTCTGACCAAATAATACTCCCCTGAGTATGTGTATCACATTTTCCTCATCTGTTCATCTGTTGGTGGACACCTTGGCTGGTCCTTCGTCTTGGCTGTTGTGAGATGCGCTACAGTAAACGTGGACAAACAGGTGTCCGTGTATTCATGGTGGAGAACCTGTGGCACACTGTGCCTCCCTGTCAGCATGGGAGCTGAGTTGCCCAAGCAGCCAAACATTGGATAACAGTTGTTTTTTCTAAACTAAAATCTCACCATCCAGTTTTAATTGCGGTGTTGGCACTTTGTGATAAAGTAAGTGAGCAATGAGTTGCCGTTTGAGCACTTGGTGTCTAAAAGATTCGCTATTACTGATTTATATCATGCTCACTTTGGTTTCTTTGGGTGCATACCAACGAGTGTTGTAGCTGGATCACAGGACAGCTCTACTTTTTATTATTTTTTTTTTTTGTAAAAACAGGGGTTCTACTAATTTATGCTCCTACTAGCGGTGTAGAAGAGTTCCTTCTTCTCTTGATTTTGCCAGCATTTGTTGCTTTTTTATAAACTTTGGTGGCAGCGATTCTGACTGGGGTGAGATGGAACCTCAGTGTAGTTTTGTTTTGTTTTGTTTTGTTTTGTTTTTGGTATTGGAAATCAAATTCAGGGCCTCATGCTTGCCAGGCAGCCCCTCAGTATAGCTTTCATTTGTGCTTCCCAGTGCAAAAGATGCTACACATCTTTTAAATACACTTATTGACCATTTGTACTTCTGAGAAATGTCTATGCCCAGCTCTTTACAGAGCCATTTGATTGTGCTTTGTTGCCAAGTGTTTCCTGTTCTTTTCATGTATTTTAGATACTAATCTGGTAGAAAAGTAGCGGGCAAAGGTTTTCCCCCATTTCTTTAGGGATTTCCTACTTGGTTAGTCATTTCCTTTACTGTACACACATTTTAATTTGACATAGTCTATTTGTTGACACTTGCTACTATTTCCTGTGCTATTGGATCCTACTTGGGAAGTTTCTGCCTGTGCCTATGGTTTCAAAAGTTTGCCGTATGTTTTCTTTTAGTAGTGTTGAAATTTCAGGTCTTGGTCTATTTTGAGTTGAGTTTATGCAGGGTTAGAGAGACAGGGATCTAGTTTGGCCCCCAGTGTGAAAGGATGCAGTGTGGGGAGCTTCCACACACGACAAGTCTGGCCCCAGTTGTGCATCTGCTTGAGCTGTGGAGAATGGAGCAGGAGTGACGTCAGCATCCCTCACCTCACCACTCCGGGTGGTGCAGCTGGCACTGTTTTGTGTGAACTGCAACCATTGTAAGGCAGGTGCTTCCTGTCCTGCTCCGATAGCATGTGTGGAAGGTCCTGGCCCGGCTGTTTCTGGCAGCCTTTTCCTCAGCCTGGCCTGAAGTGGGATTTGGATGAGACAAGTCTTCTGGGAACACACATGCAGCCTGAAGCCAAGCTGATGACAGCTTTTAAAATTATTGACGGAAACTCACATTAACGTGAGGTGCCACTGTTTTCCATAAGGGAAGCCTAACTGTAGTTACTGTGAAAGTCATGTTTTCTGCTCCTTGCTGCTTTGCAGCTGTGTGCCTCTGTTACTCTCTCTGTCTGCACAGCCATCAACAGCAGATCTTACATGGGAGGAATATGGAATGAGAGTTAGAGAGGAGGGTGTGTAACTGTCACTAGCACTGCCATGGACTGCCATGTGTGGAAGGTGCCAGAGGAGTCAGCATAGCTTGCACTGGCCCCTGTTTCCTGGGCTTGGCATCTGGGAGGCTGCTGGCCCCCGCAGTGTGCTACCCTTGTGGGCCTTCTCCTGTTAAAAGCCCTGGCTGCCCGTCTCTCTGACTCTGTGGCTTCTGCCCTACCCTTATTACTAGACTCTGGCAGGCAGCCTTTCCCTGCCAGTGTGGTTGTGCTGTCATCCAGCATCCTGGTCCCCTGGCCCAGTGTCTCCTTTACCTTTCTCTTATTGCTGGGACAAAACACCTGACATCCAAAATGAAAGAAGGAATTATTTATTTAGCTTACAGTTTCTGGAGGTTTCATCCATAATCAGCTGGGTCCAAGACAGAGTGTCATGGCACTGGGGAAACTCTTCAAGGCAGCAGACAGCAAAAGCAGCCAGCGCAAAAAGGAGGGAAGAGCAAGCCTATTTTCCTCCCTTGTAGTGTATGCAGGCCACCCCCCATCCAGGGTGAGGTAGCGCACAAAATCTCTGGGCTCTCCTCTTGCACAGGCTGAGGATATTTACAAAGTCAGGATCCTGACTCCCTGCTGAGTCTCAGTTAAACTTCTGAACTTCTCAAGCTGACACAGTGGATCAACCATAACACCCAGTATGGCCTCTTACTTGTCCCTGCTCCACGGCAAAGCCCCCTGCCCCTCCCTCTTGCTGCCTTCTAAGTGCACCCCAGGCACCCTCACACGCTCCTCTGTTGCTTCTCCCTGTTGCCACATCCATTGCTGGCCATCCACCTCTCTCTGGCCCTCCTCTGTCTCCTGCTTGGTCTCACAAAGTGAAACAGATCCCACCTGTTGGTGATCTCGGTCCTAGTTAATGGAAATAGGAAGGGGCCAATACCACTGCCTCTGCTAAGGGACAAAATCCAGCTGGGCACCACTGGAGAGCAGAACACTGCACACAGTGCCTGAGTTCCTGCCACTGCCCCTGCAGGCTCCCACCTCTGGGCTCCTGGACACAGGCCAGTGCCGATCTTTGGAATTTGCTTTTGAAAGAACCCTCTTCACTCTTGTGTGTGTGATTTGTTGGCCGTTTCCTGTGCTGCCTTTCAGTACTGGTGGCCCATTCTCCTTGCTGTCCCCCAGCTGTGCCGCACGCTATCATGGCCTGGTGCAAAGCATCAGGCACAGTGAGTGGAGTCCTGGCTCCAGGAGCCCCTGCACACCTGCCCCACTTCTGCTTCCAGTGCGCCTCCTCCTCTTGCTACCTGCCAGCCCCTACATGATTTCAAAGCAAACTCAGTCATCAAACTGCTTCAGCTGTCAGTGTTTCAGTACTGCTGAGCAGTAAGATCCTCTGCAAATGAACCAAGATAGCTGTGTGACCCCAAAGATGAATAAAGATGGTGACATCACCATGGGAGCTGTTCGGTGCTCCCGCGGTTTCCACAGCTGACTCTTCTGAAGCAGGGTCTGTAGAGGCTCACTGAGCCGGTGGACAGGTTCTTCACCCTTCTTTTCTTTCACAGCAGGTTTTGTTTTCAGAAACCATTTCACTAACCTCTATGCGTTGCTCACATTTTGGACTGTCGGGTTATATCCTGGAGGTGTGTGACATGTTCCCCTGCTCTGTTTCCTGTAAAGGAATTGCAGGAGCACTCAGCATTTGGCCAGAGAATTTCGGGAGCATACTTCGGGGAAGTGCTTGGTGTCCCCTGTCCCCTCTGGGCTGGCCAGTAGCTGCAGGTCACAAAGCCTGCCTGGCATATTCCAGCTTTGTGATTCACACACTGTTCAGGGAAGCCTTCCCGACCCCCACCTGGATAGGCTCCACCAAGAGGTGCTCTTTCAATCTGTGTCCTGCTGAGGACAGCTGTCCATTGTACATCTGTGTGACTGTGGCAAATGATTTCCTCTTCACGATGGCAGTGAACAGTGCCTCCTTTCAATGTGTGCACCAGGCCTGCTTGTGTCGAAAATGCTGTTTGTAGAGGGGCCGACGCTTCCTCTCAGCTGCTCCTAGCGCTGCCTGTCACCCCGAGGGGTGGCTTTGTTGTCAGTCTCTCTTTCTTACAACCTCACTTTCCAGAGGAAGAAACAAGCCTGGGAGGTTAACATTGTGACTTGATCAAACATTTAGGTCCCTCAGAGAGAGCTGGAGCCTGAACCTACTCCCTGAGATGCAGATTAAAACACAGTTAAATCATGGTGAATTGGTCCTGGGCTTTGAGGTTTAAAATGACTATTCAGCTCCAGCACCAAGCTTTCTTGGCCTGTCTTCTGCATGGTTTGTGGTTTGCTGAGCTCTCATGCAGAGAACAATGAGGTCACTCTGTACTGACCCTGCAGCAGGAGGCTGAGATTGCTCCTGAATGTCTGAGAGGGAGGAGCAGCCACCAGGCAGCAGTGTCAATCCTGGTACGGGAGAAGATCTGCATTCTAAGACGGGAGGGAAAGGGAAGCTGCCTCAGAGTTGAGTCTACACTTCCCAAATAGCCAGCTTCAACTCAGCGG